AAATAGACAGGGAGGGAAGGAGGAAGGAGATGGGAATGAAAAGGAAGGAAGGAAGGAGAGGAGGAGGGAGGGAAGGAAGGAAATGGGATGAAAAGTAAGCAAGGAAGGAAGGAGAGGGGGAAGGAGGGAGAAAGGAGATGAGAAGGAGAAGGAAGGAAGGAAGGAGATGGGGAAGGAGGAAGGAAAGAAATGGGAATGAGAAGGAAGGAAAGAAAGAAGGAAGGAAGAAAGAAGATGGGAAGGAGATAGGGAGGGAGGGAGGAAGGAGATGGGAATGAAAAGGAAGGAAGGAAGGAGATGGGGAGGGAGGGAAGGAAGGAAATGGGATGAAAAGTAAGCAAGGAAGGAAGGAGATGGGGAAGGAGGGAGGAAGGAGATGGGAATGCGAAGGAAGGAAGGAAGGAAGGAAGGAAGGAAGGAAGGAAGGAGATAGGAAGGAGATAGGCAGGGAGGGAAGGAGGAAGATGATGGGAATGAAAAGGAATAAAGGAAGGAAGGAAGAAAAAGAGAGAAAGGAAGGAAGGAAGGATGGAAGGAAAGTAGGTTTGGAGATATACAGAGTCCCCTCTAAAAGGTTAATGACAGATGTGAAATTCCTCTTAGAATCGAACCGCACCATCACACTCGGGGAATGTAAATATTTACCCACACAAATCTACGCCAGAAAAAGAGTTCACCTCGAGTAGAGCTTTCAAAACCATTTTTTTTTTAAAAAAAAAGATAATATATGGGAATCAGATGAAAGAACGGTGAGCGGCTGCAAAGCCACTGAATGCCTATTTTCTGCTGATGACATGAAAGGCCTCCTTTCATCACACTCTTGACTCCGGAGCCTTCAAAGGGATTTTTGCCAGGAACAAGGAATCCTACATTTCCATACCACGAAGACTGTAATTTTCAAGCCTTCGACTTCTTAGGCTCGCCAAAAGCGCGTGACTCCAGAAGTATTGGATATATATTTGCATAACACACAAACAAACAAAAAAAGTCGGTCAAGCAATGTCGACTGGCGACCCACAGGGGGAGAGCCTTCTCTGTGGGGGCACCTGCCCTCTGGAACGAGCTCCCCCCCCCCATGGATACCATCGATCCCGGACCTCCGTACTTTCCGCCGGGCTCTGAAGACTTTCTTCTTTCAGCAAGCCGGGCTGGCTTAAAATTTTCAATTGTTTTATGGGTAAGGGGTTTTTAAATTGGGGGGAAGCCAAATGGATTTAATTATGTTTTAAAAAATTATTTTAATTTTCATATTGTATGTATTTTAATCCCGGCTGTTCATCGCCCCGAGTCCCTCTGGGAGAAGGGCGGTATAAAAATTTAATCCATTCGATTCAATTCAAAACGAAACCGAAAAAGTCCCTACCTTAAAAACCCAGTGAAACAAAAATGAGTGAAATTTATTTATTTATTTATTTATTTATTTATTTATTTATTTATTTATTTATTTATTAAATTTGTATACCACCCTTCTCCTTTCGGACTCAGGGCAGTGAGTAGAAACAAATCGTAACCCTTATAATCAATGCCAGCTCAGTAAACATTTTTTTTTTTTAAAAAAAATAGAAATTCAACAAAGAATTTCCATCTCTGTGCTAGAGAAAACTTAATGTGGAGGCGGGCTTTCTCCTACATTACACCCTTACCCATATTCCCTTTCCTCCTCCATCTCACCCTTCCTTCCTTCCTTCCTTCCTTCCTTCCTTCCTTCCTTCCTTCCTTCCATCCATCCATCCATCCATCCACCCTCCCTCCCTCCCTCCCTCCCTCCCTCCCTCCCTTCTGTTGTGATCTAGGCTTCCTGAATCATTAAAACACACAAGTAGTCCCAAAAACCTCTTTTATTGCAACAGCTGTGAATTACGTTCATTCACAGCTGAGTCCCAATTAGTTGCAAAAAATCCTTCGGGATAATCACCAACCTTTATCTCCCTTGACACGCTGCCAAAGACCTACTTGGCAAAGCCACACAGAGTCCAGAATCAAACAGAGATGCCGACTGGAAACAGAATTAACAACGTTGCTTTCCTGCAAAGGGCCCACTGCCTTTGCTCCTCTTTTAAGCCTTAAGGGAGGGGCCAATCATCTCCAGGCCTTATTCCTGAGTCGTCCCTTTTGATTTAAAAACATTTTTTTCGGCCGAAGAGGTTGTAGAAAAAATGCTTTTAAAAGCCTCTGATGATCCCAGCTGAGCCACGTGATCATCAGAGGCTTTTTTTTACTTTTAAAAGCATTTTTTCGGCCAAAGAGGTTGTAGAAAAAATGCTTTTAAATTTTTTTTTAAAAGCCTCTGATGATTGCGCGGCTCAGCTGGGCAATTGGAGAGGGGGCAGGGATTTTTGCTACCGGTTCTCCGAACCACCCGCCTCCATCGCTACCGGATCGGGCGATCCGGTCCGAACCGGGAGCATTTCACCCCTGGGTGGAAGGCTCCGCCCATCCGCTTGAACGCTTCTGCGCACGTGCCCACAAGCGAACCAGTAGTGATGAGTTTTGAAACCCACTATTGGTGTGTGAGTCAGAATCTCTTCGAACCTCTGTCCTCGTTTTCATCTTTCCTATATAACTCCATCAAAAATATTAATTCTTGACTCCCGGCCAATCAGAAAAGCTGCTGAATACACTGATAATACCCTGATTTATATAACTCTGCATGCATGCTGCTTTGTTTTGCAACAGGCTGAGCGCCGGTTTCTGCCACCGCCAAAGGCTGAGTCAATTTTTCACGGCCAGAACCTCAAGCTGGTTTTCTTAGTAAATTTCCAGTCATTTTTATTTCTTCAGAATCCCCGGGAAGCTAAAGCATGTTTAATTCTTTCAAGCCCTGTTTTCTACCTGGGCTTCTAAGAAAACTTCGCTTGGCCTCTCTCACTGTGGCTGTTTTAGCCAAGCTGGAAGACGTCCTTTGGAAGCAATCTTTGAAAGCAAGGATGATTTCAGAGCTAGGTTGGTAGCCTGAGAATCTCCCACCACCCAGCAGAAAGTGGAAATCGACACGCTGGGAGGTAGGTACCCATGGCAGAACGTTGACCTACTTCAATGGGGATCCAGAGTCTATTTCTGGAGATCTTTCCCAAGCAAATCCACCCGTAGCCACAAAGGAGATTCTGGTGCACGCTGCAAGAGAGCTTAGCTAAGCTTTTCCAGCTCCTGGAGATTAAAAAGCTGGGAGGGTTTAAAGAAGAGACCGGAGAACCATTGATCTGAAAGGGTCTAGGGTTTTCTGATTGGGCAGGGGGTTGGACTAGAAGACCTCCAAGGTCCCTTGCAAGAAAGGAAGGGAGGGAGGGAAGGAGGGAGGGAGGGAGGAAGGAAGGAAGGAAGGAAGGAAAGGAAGGAAAGGAAGGAAGGAAGGAAGGAAGGAAAGAAGGAAGGAAGGAAGGAAGGAAGGAAGGAAGGAAGGAAGGAAGGAAGGAAGGAATAACAATAGCAATAGCACTTAAGACTTATATACCGCTTCACAGTGCTTCACAGCCCTCTCTAAATGGTTTACAGAGTCAGCGTATTGCCCTCAATAATTCTCGTTTTACCGATCTCGGAAGGATGGAAGGCCGAGTCAACCTTGAGCCACTGGGAATTGAACTGCAGGCAGTTGGCAGAGTCAGCCTGCAATACTGCATTCTAACCATTGCACAAAGGAAGGAAGAGAGGGAGGGAGGGAGGGAGGGAGGGAGGGCAATGAGGATAGCAATAGCACTTATATACCGCTTCACAGTGCTTTGCAGCCCTCTCTAAGCGGTTTACAGAGTCAGCCTCTTGCCCCCAACAATCTGGGTCCTCGTTTTACCGACCTCGGGAGGACAGAAGGCTGAGTCAACCTTGAGCCGGTCAGGATCGAACTGCTGGCAGTCAGCAGAGTTAGCCTGCAATCCTGTATTCAAGCCACTGCACCACCAAGGAAGGAAGGAAGGAAGGAAGGAAGGAAGGAAGGAAGGAAGGAAGGAATAGCAATAGCATTTAGACTTATAAGTGCTTTTACAGCCCTCTCTAAGCAGTTTACAGAGTCAGCCTCTTGCCCCCAACAATCTGGGTCCACGTTTTACCGACCTCGGAAGAAAAAAAAAGCTGAGTCAACCTTGAGCCGATAAGGATCGAACTGCTGACAGTGGGCAGGGTTTAGCCTGCAATCCTGCATTCTAACCACTGCGCCACCACAGCTCTAACATAACATTACATCTGGTTTCCAACCAATAGCTCTGTAATATTGTCTTTTCATACCAGCGACCTAATTTAGCACAAGAAGCGGAGGCTCTTTTGTGAGATAAGAGGGACCAGTGGGGTTTTGTTGACTTCCAGAAAATTGTCAAGAGCAGTTGTGGGTCGCTTTTTCAGCAGTCTGAAATATCCCCTCCCCATGTGCCTGGTTTGGCTGAGGATGAGGGTATAAAGGAATCAGAAGGTGCCAAAACACTCCAAAGCCTCCAAGTTGGGATCTCTAAGCTGGCACTGTCATCCACACAACCGTGCCAATTTGAGACTAATGGGTATCGTAGTACCACACGGGGTTGGCAAAGGGCTGCTTTTAAGCCCGTCGCCCCATCCAGCCTACTGCTGGCTCCAGTGCCCATCACGCCAAGGCGGATAGGTTCTGTAGTCCAACACCCCCAGCTGGAAGACAAGCCCTCCAACCCCTCACCAAGAGCCCGGTGGGTCCCCCCCTAAGAGGGGGATTGGGGGCGGCTGCTGACTAGCCACCGTTTGCACGGCCGGATCGGGGCCCAGGAGGATGGGAGCTGGAACCCGGCATCTGTAGATCGGGGGAAAAAAAGTTGGGAGCTGGCAAGCCGCGGTGCTCCCTGGTGCCAAGCCAGCGCCGCTGCTCCTCCGCTCCAGCCCAACGTGGCAAAGCCCAAAGGCGCAGATGGAAAACACGGGAGGAGAGGAGGGGGGGGAGCCGCTCTCCGTTTCCCCGCGGGGTCTCTCTCCCAAATCCTTCCTTCCTTCCTCCCCCTCCCCAATCTCCCCCTCCCTTCCCCCCATCCCCCCCCCCCCAGTTCACTTACTCGTCTCCTTCGCTCTCGCAGTCAAAGCTGACCCCCTTTTTCAGCAAGGCTGCGCGCCGGCTGCGCAGCTGGGACAAGGGGGCTGCCTCCAGCGCCATCGCCCCACAAGTCTTGCGGTGGGGTGGGGTAGGGGAAGGTAAGGGGGGGCGATCCGGGCCAGCGGGAGGAGGGAGCTGGGGGGTGGCCAGCCGGCTGGCTTGCCTGCCTCCTTGCCTGCCTCCCTGGCTGGCTAGCTGGCTTGGCAGTCCCCAGCAAAGGCTCTCTCCCTGCCTCTCTGCGCCGCTTCCCCCCTTCCCTTTCAGCGCTTGGGTTCCGCCCCATTTGGGCGAGGGGCGCCCGGAAAAAAAAGATAAAAGGGGGAGAAAAAAAAAAGAGGAGGAGAGGGAAGGGGTGGCCAAAGGGAGAAGCCCCGAGCTCCCATCTCCCCCCCGCCCCCCAAAGTTTGGTCCCTACCTGGAGCAAGATCCGCTCCTTTCCTCCTTTCCAAGCCCTCCGCTGAGGGCGCTCTGCACATGCTCGCTTCTTCTCGCCTTGCCTTCTTCCCTTCTCTTGGACTACCGCGTCCTCTCCACGAAGAAGAAGCGGGGGTGGGGAGGGGAGGGGAGGTGAGGTGGGGGGATCAACTTATTTTCCAAAGCACCAGAATGCAAAAAAATAATAAAGCCTGGATAGCTCACCAGACTAAAAGCCTGTTATTAACATTCAGCTGTCTGCAATGATTGCAAATTCGAATCTTGCCAGGCTCAAGGTTGACTCAGCCTTCCATCCTTTCTAAGGTAGGTAAATTGAGGACCCAGATTGTGGGGGTAATAAGCTGACTTTGTATAAATATACAAAAGGATGAAGGCTATTGCTTAACGCATTGTAAGCCGCCCTGAGTCTCCGGAGAAGGGCGGCATATAAATCAAATTAAAAATCATCATCATCATCAATGGATGGAAACTAATCAAAGAGAGAAGCAAGCTGGATTTAAGGAGAAACTTGCTACACTGGGGAGAACGGTTGACCAGTGGAACGGCTTGCCACCACCAGAAGTTTGGGGGTGCTCCATCTGGGGAGGTTTTGAAGAAAAGACTGGAATGGAATTGCCTGGAATGATATAAGTTTTCCTGTTTGAGCAGGCGGGATGGACTAGAAGACCTCCAAGGTCCCTTCCAGCTCTATTCTGTTTATTTATTTATTGTTTGTTTATTTATTGGTTCGATTTATATGCCGCCCTTCTCCTGAGACTCAGAGCGGCTTACAATGCGTTAAGCAATAGCCTTCATACTTTTGTATATTTATACAAAGTCAGCTTATTGCCCCCACAAACTGGGTCCTTGCCTGATCGACAGAGACTTTTCTTTTTTACTTTTAAAAGCATTTTTTTTTTGTAGAAAAAATGCTATTAAAAATAAAATAAAAAGCCTCTGATGATTGCGCGGCTCAGCTGGGCATGGGGGTGGGGTGGGATTTTTGCTACCGGTTCTCTGAACCACCCGCCTCCATCGCTACCGGATCGGGCGATCCAGTCCGAACCAGGAGCATTTCACCCCTGGGATAAAGGGTTCTTTTCTTTGGGGAATATCAGTAAACCTACCACAAGTCCAGAAAGCTTTTAACAATGGCTGGTTTGAACACTGGCAGAATCCAGGAGAATAGAGCGGGAAGGGACCTTGGAGATCTTCTAGTCCAACCCCCCTGGTCAAGCGGGAGACCCTCTACCAGGGATCGGCAACCTTAAACACTCAAAGAGCCATTTGGGTGGCTTTGGGACCCATTTCCCAAAGAAAAGAAAACACCAGGAGCCACAAAAACCCTTCCCGTGCCTGGCTATTTCCTGAACAGCCACAAAACTAGCATATGTAGTTGAATTAAACATTCAGTTTTCTTCTGAAAGTTTTCTTTTCTTGGATTTATCCATGGTGGTTGGCCTACCGGGAGTCGAAAAGCTCAATAAATCGCGTGCCGGCGGGTGTCGCACATTGGCGGTTGTGACGCATATTTTGAGTGACAGGGAGCTGCAGCAGAGGGGTGAAAGAGCCACATGCGGCTCCAGAGCCACAGGTTGCTGACTCCTGACCTATGCATCCCAGGCAAGTGGCTGTCCAATCTCTTCTTAAAAACCTCCAGTGATGAAGCACCCACAACTTCTGGAGGCAACTTCAGTTCCACTGGTTAATTGTCTTCACTGTCAAGAAATTTCTCCTTAATTCCAGGTTGCTTCTCTCCTTGATTAGTTTCCACCCACTGCTTCTTGTCTTGTCTTCTGGTGCTTTGCAAAATAAGTTGATCCTCTCTCTTCTTTGTGGCAGCCCCTCAAATACTGGAAGACTGCTCTCATGTCACCCTTGGTCCTTCTTTTCTCTAGACTAGACATTCCCAGTTCCTGCAACCGTCCTTCATTTGTTTTCATCTCCAGGCCTTTAATTATCTGAGTTGCTCTTCTCTGTACTTTTTTCCCAAAGTCTCAACATCTTTATTTGGTAGTGTGGCGACCAAAACTGGATGCAGTATACCAGGTGTGGCCTTACTAAGGTGTTACAAAGCGGTACTAATGCTTCACGCGGTTTTGATTCCGTGCCTCTGTTTACAAAAGCCGAAAGCCAGTTTCTGCTGGTTCCTTAATCCCAACGCCAGAGCCGCGGCCCGTCTCAACATTTTGACTCGTTACCAATTTCTTTTGCCATCAGGTGGATTGTCTTAAAATAGCGTAGGTGACTTTTCGGCTTTTGAATTGAATTTCAGGACAACTGGAACTGTCGCCCATGAGATGCTCAACCTTTGCTCCACCGAGATGTTGGGCGAAAGGAGAAGGAGGAACGAATGATTATGATTAATTGCCCTGATCATGATCAGAATTAAAAAGACGCTCCAAGCCTTCCGGTAAGAGCAATTTGGACCTGCCTGGCAGCAAAAGAGAAGGAGGTGGAAACGAATCAACAGGTTCAGATCGCATCTTAGGAATCGACAAAAGGTGGATGCGTTATTTCTGGAGAATATCGTCACCCCCCACACACAAAGGGATTAGCACATACACCCCTGGCTGTGACCTTGTCATTTTTCCTCTCCTTCATTTCCTCCTGCATGTCGCCTCCCCGCAGGAGGGAACTGGATTGCATCTCAGAAAGCCAATCTTTCTCCTTGAAGAGCTTCGCCGGTGGAGAAAGCAAGTGAGAGGTTTATCTCTGAACTTTTATTCATTCATTTATTTATTGATCGGTTCGATTTATATACCGCCCTTTTCCGGCGACTCAGGGCGGTTTACAATGCATTAAGCAATAGCCTTCATACTTTTTGTATATACCTGCTTAGTAGGGCTTTCGCCCCCCCCTTCTAAGCGGTGTTCTTTTGTATACAAAGTCAGCTTATTGCCCCCACAATCCGGGTCCTCATTTTACCTACCTCAAAAGGATGGAAGGCTGAGTCAACCTTGAGCCTGGTGAGATTTGAACTTGCAGTAATTGCAGGCAGCTGGTGCTACTTAACAGCGCTTTAGTCTGCTGCGCCACCAAGGCTCTTAGATAAGAGCCTTATCTTAGACAAATAGGCACCTCTAGGCTCTCAAAGAAACAGGTGTTTTGCCGAAGCAAATTTTGGAGTTTGGAAGAAGGACTGGAAGAAGGACTGGATCCCTTCCTTCCTTCCTTCCTTCCTTCCTTCCTTCCTTCCTTCCTTCCTTCTCTTCCATTTGCCTGCCTGCCTGCCTTCCTTCTCTTCCATTTTCCTCCCTCCGTTCCCTTTTCCTCCTTCCCTTCCATTTTTCTCCTTCCCTCCCTCCCTCCCTTCCATTTGCCTTCCTTCCTTCCCTCCTTCCTTCTCTTTATTTTCCTCCTTCCCTCCCTCCCTTCCCCCGTCCCTCCCTTTGCTTCCATTTTCCTTCCTTCCTTCCTTCCTTCCTTCCTTCCTTCCTTCCTTCCTTCCTTCCTTCCTCCCTCCCTCCCTCCCTCCCTCCCTCCAATGGTGCACTCCTGTTACCTGTCACGAGAATGGATGCCGCTCTCAGCAAAAGCACGAGAGGGCAGCAACCACATACAGATACGGACTTGAAAGAGCACTTAACATATCCTGCTTTTTATTTGGATTTGAACTCGCTTTGTCTCTTGATACTAAATGCACCCTTCCCATTCAGCACTTCTTAAGCAGTTACGTTAAAAGCACGTAAGCCATTTAAAACCTACTGCAGTGCTTTGCCACACGCCTTTTATTGCCTCGGCCCTGACTATAAAAACTTTCTCTCCTTAAAGCAGGCGGCCACATAAATTCTAATTCCGAAGCCGCAGCCACGCCCCTAACTTGGGGCCCTAGCAAAGTTTTTCCCATATCAGGAAAAGCAAACAGCGAAAGATTAACGAGGGGGAACGTGAAAAGTTACAAAGAGAGATAGATACATCGTACTGCATCCAGTTTTGGACACCACAATGTAAAAAAGATGCAGAGACTCTAGAAAAAGTGCAGAGAAGGGCAACCAGGATGATTAGGGGACTGGAGGCTAAAACATACAATGAACGGTTGCAGGAACTGGGCCTGGCTAGTCTAGTGAAGAGAAGGACCAGGGGAGACAGGATAGCCATCTTCCAATATTTGAGGGGCTGCCACAAAGAAGAGGGAGTCAAGCTATTCTCCAAAGCACCCAAAGGCCAGACAAGGAACAATGGATGGAAACTGAACAAGGAGAGATTCAACCTGGAAATAAGGAGAAATTTTCTGACAGTGGGAACAATCAACCCATGGAACATAAGTTGCCTTTGAAGTTGTGGGAGCTTCATCCCTGGAAGCTTTCAAGAAGAGACTGGACTGTCAGAAATGGTGGAGGGTCTCCTGCTTGGGCGGGGGGTTGGACTAGATGACCTACAAGGTCCCTTCCAACTCTGTTAATCTGTTAAGTGGTAGGCTGACGTCAGCTTTAACATCATGTTGATACTTGCCTTGATTGCGCAACACGGGGTGGGGGTGGGGAGAAACATAAGGAAAGTGCTTGTTATTGTGATTATATTTGAACTGGCACAGGTCAGCAAGGCAATTAGGGGGAAAAAATGTTGGGAATGCCTCCAGCATCAGATTCTGGAATATTCACTTCCCGCTCCATCTCCATCCTGGAAAGATTTTTATCGTCTGGCCTGTTTGCACACGAATAATCCGATTTCTCACGTAGCTTGCCTTTTCCCAGGAAAGTCACTCTTTTGAACGGAAACGTTACAAGCAATGTGA